TGCGGCCGGCCTGGAAAAAGGTGCCGGAACGCGGTTCCGCCGCGTTCCGGCTGAAAAAAAGCCCTGCCTTTATTCTCCTCTATTATTTCTAGTCTCCAAGCTCCACTGCCTTCTTCATTTGCCTTCCATAAGGACTAGCCTCCTCGTCAGCTGCGGTTTAATAATAATAATAATAATAATAATAATAATAATAATAATAGTTGGAAGGGACCTTGAAGGTCATCTAGTCCAACCCCCTGCTCAGGCAGGAAACCCTATACCATTTCGGACAAATGGCTGTCCAGTCTCTTCTTAAAAACTTCCAGTGTTGGAGCATTCACCACTTCTGGAGGCAGGTGGTTCCACTGGTTAATTGTTCTCACTGTCAGGAAGTTTCTCCTTAGTTCTAGGTTGCTTCTCTCCTGGATTAGTTTCTCTACCCGTTGCTTCTTGTCCTGCCTTCAGGCGCTTTGGAGAATAGCTTGACTCCCTCTTCTTTATGGCAACCCCTGAGATATTGGAACACTGCTATCATGTCCCCCCTCGTCCTTCTCTTCGTTAAATTAGACATACCCAATTCCAGCAGCCGTTCCTTATATGCTTTAGCCTCCAGTCCCCTAATCATCTTTGTTGCTCTTCTCTGCACTCTTTCTAAAGTCTCAACATCTTTTTTACATCGCGGTGACCAAAACTGCATGCAGTATTCCAAGTGTGGCCTTACCAAGGCATTGTAAAGTGGTATTGTCAAAGGAAATTCAGGCCCACCCCTTTCCCTCTTTTAAAACGTCCCCTCCCAGTTGGATTCTCTTGTGAATGTTCCAAGGGGTGTACTCACTCTCATGAGAGTAACAATTTCATCCATGTAAGGTCGGATGTGGCTTCTCACGAAAGACACCAGCATTCCCAGCTGCTGGAAAAGGAACTAGGAAGGGGAGAAAGAGCAAAAAGGACGGGCGCGCTTTGAAGGGAGGGTTTTCAATCCTCACCACCCTCCCACTACACACACTCTTTTGCTTCTATGTCTTGCTATCCCCCACCCACCCGAGCACACATTTAATTTCAGCAGCTCACAACCCTGGGGCTGTGGTTGTGCCGGAATCTCGGGGAGGAGTGTGCTGAAGCACTTAGGCAAGCGCAGTGGCGAAGGCTGAAGTTCCAGGCATGCAAATACGAACACCACAAAGAGCCCCGAAGTTTTCCAAGCCCGCTTTTTCCCAAGCCTGTCCCTGCCCTTCCTCAGTTCCTCCGAACACGCTTTTCCCTGTTATCCCTAAAGTTTCCTTCTCTGCGCGCCCAGCACCCTCTTTGGGAAATGAGACAGCAGAAAACCGAGGTGGCTTGCAAAAAAAGAAAAAAGAAAAAAGAGAGAGGTGGTTAAGTTTCAGGCCGCGAACACCACGATCAAGAGAGATTTTATAGGATTGGTGCAAATCGGGACCCCCACCGGATCGTCCACCTTGACGACGCAAAACAGAGCAGAGAGAGAGAGAAAGGGACCAAGTTTGGGGGTGGGGGAAATTGTGAGGGAGTGCTGTGAAAAAGAAGTAGCAAGAAAGGTGCTTCCTGTTCTGTCTTTGGTTAGGAAGTTGAGAGGCTTTGTAGCCAACTCAGGAAGTGCTCTTTTTTTTGGGGGGGGGGCACTGAAATGCCAAGTGTACCCACCTCGGCTCTTCTCCCCAGTACACTATCACCATCTTCTTTTACCTGCAAATTTGTAAAGACAGTAGGCAAAGTGCATCAAAGGCAAGGCCAGGTCCAGCCAGGCAACAAAGCTCGGATTACCAAAATGGGGGCTTCGGCAACGGCTCAGGGGGTTTCAC